ATAAAACACCATTTTGTATGACACCATGTTTTAGAGTTCCACAAGCTGCAGAACTAATAGGAATATGTTCAGTGACTGTATATTGGGTAAAATATATTATAGAACAATAATAATAAACAATGTTTTGTATTGTTTGTTTTGTAAACAAGTTTTGTAAACAATATATGAAATTATTTTGTGTGCTTATTGTGTTGTATACAACGATGTATATATGTACATTGCACCTTACTTTGGTCTCATAGGCCCACATAAGTTAGTGAAAAAAAAAATAGTGAAAAAAACAACAAACCTTCAAATACAAGTAAACTAAAGTTTACCGGTTGAGCGGCAGTCGCCGCTGTTGCCATACGCGGCTCATTTCTGCAAACTTCATGCATCCATATCCCGTAAGTATTGATGGTAAATTTTTTTTGTTTATCCTATAATGTTTAGAAAAAAAACTCTATTTTTTCATAAAAAAAATAATTTTTTTTTTTTTTTTAAAATTTTGCCGACCCTGAGAACGAGTTTGGAAGGCCTGTGCCCCTAAAAGGGTTTAAAGTACAGGCATTGTACAGTGGCCCCTCTCTTTCGTGTTCTGGGGAATCATAGATTTGGGAAAATCATAGAGATTTTTTCATAAAACAGGGGCTCGCTAAAAAGGGTTGACCCCCAAATATGCACCCGGGATACGTACGCAGGGTTTGGGGCCCGGGGGGGCCCTCCCTCCCCAGCTAGTCGGCTTATTTACCGTGAGCAAAGGTCCCCTCACGTGCCCCTACAAATATTTCAAAATATTCCACTCATTTTATGTTTTGCAAGTACATGGACCCCCCGCAAATGATTCTCCGAACGCCCAAAATTTATGTAAGTGTATTTATGTAAGTGCTTTGTACGTTATGTTTGGGGGTCTAAAAGGAAAATAACATTTCACAATTTTCCCTTAGGGAATAAATTCGGCAGTACTGGCACCTAACAACTTATGGAGTAAAAAAAAAATATTGTTAACCGGGGGGCCACTTACAAAAAAACTACCCTGGCTCCAAGAAAGCTCCAGTGCCAAGCCCTTGGTAAAGAAGGTGAGAAAATGGTTGAAATTTAAGAAAAAAAACATTGAACAAAAAGAAAGTGGCAAAGTGCGGCCGAAATGGGCCCGGTGTATAAAAAACCCCACAAAACCTTTTGTTTCCCTAGTGGCCCAAAAAAAAGGAAAAACAAGGGTGCTTTGTTTCAAAGGGAGTAAATATCTGACAAAAATGAGTCACCAGTACTCAAGGGTTGAAGTTTTTATTTGGGTGGATAAATGAAAACAATTAGCAGGGGAAAACTCTTAACTTGATTATTTTTGAAAAAGGGTAGGCTTGCATGAAAATTTGGTAAAAAAATTGCCTGCAAAAGGGTGAAAAAGTGAATTTTAAAGGGCCCGCAAATTTGGTTTGAGAGATTTAAGAACCGTACGGGGATGCACGTGTGGGAAGCATGGTGAGGGGGCCAGTTCGGGCCAAAAGGGGGGTTTTAAAAATATTTTATGAAATTTAAGGATACATAAGGATGAAGGGCTGAAACCTGAACAATGTTCAATTTTGACGAAACAGGCCCTTTTGGAAGAAAAGCCAAAGAGGACCCTTTCCCACACAGGAGGGGAAAAGGGAATGCCAGACACAAGCCTATGAAAAAACAGCTGATGCCGTGTCTGTGTAAGTAGTGAGATTTCAAAGTGAAGCCATTTCTATGTACCATTTTGAAAAACCCAGAGGTTTTAGGGGAAAACAATGTTATGAAGATAAATTTTTGTGGTTTTTTGGAATCTAATAGTAAGGCATGGGGCACGAGGGGGAAATTTTTTGTTGAGTGGTTCAATGAAGTGTTTAGCCCTATGTAAAGAATTACCTCCCGGAAAAGAAAATTGATCCAAAGTGCCGCTATTAATGGGGCAATGCACCTGCTCATCCTCCAAAATTGGATGACCTAATTTTGAGGAGTTTGGGTTCATCACAGTAAAGTTCTTGCCCCGAATACCACTCCTCTCCTCCAGCCCATGGACCAGCAGGTCATTGCAAACTTTAAAAAACTCTACACCAAAGCAATGTTTCACAGGTGCTTGACTGTGACCACAGACACTCACTTGACCCTAAGGGAATTTTGGAGAGAACACTTCAGCATCCTCCATTGCATAACCCTTATAGGTATGGCTTGGGAGGGAAGTGACTACCAGGACTTTGAACTCTGCTTGGAGAAAATTGTGGCCATGATTGTGTCGACAAGAGGGATTTTGAAGGTTTGGACTGACCCGATGAGCCTATTCTGTTGTTAAATCAATTGTGGCACTGGGGAGTTCCATGGGGTTGGATGTGAGTTTGGAGGATGTGGAAGAGTTGTGGAAGACCACAACGAAGAGCTCACCACTGAGGAGCTGCAAGAGCTTCAGCAGGAAAGCAACAGATCGCAGCTCAGAATCTTGCTGCAGAGGAGGAGGAAGAGAGATGGAAGAAGGTGCCTTTCAGAAATTAAAGAGATTTTTGCTATGTGGGGTAAGATGGAACAGCTTTTAAGAGAAAACATCACCCTGACAGAGTTGTTGCAAGTCATGTGGCAACATGTACAGTGACAAAGTCTTGGGCCATTTTAGGGAAGTGTTAAAGAGACTGCCAGAAACAGAGCTCTCTTCCACAGTTATTTTGCGAGACAGGACTCCAGTGACTCTCAAGGTGGTCCTAGTGGCATTAAGAAACAGAGAAAGAAAGCAACCCCAGAAAAAAAAATTGGGTCCTGAGGTGTTCGGGAAAGGGGGATTTCCCTTCCAAATGTAAACAATCCAATCTCTCTCCTCCTCAAGTCCCCCAACATAAGAAGAATCTCCAAATAAAGGAAAGTGTTATCGTTAAAATTTCATCATAATTTTTCCCATTGTATTGTTTATGTCTACATCTATATTTCATGAAAAAATTTTTTGTTTTTAAAACTTTTGGGTGTCAGGAACGGAATTTGTTGTATTAAAGTTATTTCTTGGGGGAAAAAGATTCGCAAATCGTAGTTTCGATAATAGTAGCAACCCAGGACGGTTAACACAAAAAGAGGGACCACTGTACTTCCCATTTTCCCGACCCAAAAACCGCTAACCATTTTTGAAACACTTCAAAAATATTACCCTGCTCACATCCAACACTTGTCCTGTCCCAGAAACCCTTCATCTCCCTTCACCCTATCTAACATGCTCACACAGCTTGCTGGAAGTCCCAAACCCCCGCCCCCAAAACCTTTTTCCCCGCCCCTCCAGCCTTTTTTAAGGGTGACCCTTACTCGCTTCCCTTTCCCCTACAGTTTTTTTGCTCTCCAAGCATTCTTTGATCCTTCTCTTTAAATGAAAAAACCACCACAACAGCCCTTTCGCCCTTCTAATTTCCACACACTGAATTCTTTTGATAAAATTTACACCCCACATTCCTGTAAAGGTCATCTTCACTGCTTCCCCCTGCCTCCTCGCTGCAGCATTTTCAACCCAAGCTTACCCAAATAAGAGTGTTAGCCCATATACTCTTTCATTCCCTTTTTTGTCTCCGGAAAGTTTTTTTTTTTTCTCCACAGGGACCCCAGTCCCACTCACCTTTTTTCCTCTCAGTTTTTAGGTTAACCTCACCTTCAAACCCCTCCACTGCAAGTCAAAATCCCAAAAATCTGAAAAAATTTCCTTTTTTTTCAATTCCCTCTCTCCAATGTGAATCCAATTTTTCTTTATCTAAATCGCAGAAAACCCAGAGAGGGGGTAAATATGCTTCATATGATGTGTAGTGTGACCTAAGGTAAGTAGAAGTACAAACATACCGAAATCTTGCAATTTTTTATGAGACAAAAAAAAGACACCAGAAATCCAAACCATCATAAAAAACAAATGCAGACTTCCTTTTTACACTCACTTGGGTTAGGATGGTAGTACCCCCCGAATGATTGCTGTCTACCAACCTACTACATTTAACATCATCTTATGGACTACTCCTCCATCAAGAAAAAGTTGGCCATAGTGCTTTTTCCATGTATTGTACATCTCTTCTCTGGTGTTCCTTACAAATACTGTACTGTAAGTGTTCTCAGTGTCATCCTCATTACAAATCTGGTTTCCAGACAAAACTACTTTCAATGTCACTTCATAGTGGCATATCACACGAGTTAGTCTGACACACCAGAAGGAAATATTCTCACAAGACTCACCACTGATGTAAACTGTATTTTATAACTTTGGTTTACTTTAACTGATTTGATTTTGTTCATTTTTATTCAAAGTTGAAAACAACTGAGAGAAACAATGATATAAAAAATTTTTATTATGGTACGGTATATGTAGTTATTGTTGCATTTAAGTCTTGGAGCTTACATAAGGTATACAGGAGGCCCAGTTTGTATGGCTCTTCGGCTCCTGACCCTATTTGATGAGTGAAAATCGTTGGTGGGTAGAAAAAGAGCAGTTTTTCATTGTCAAATGCATTTAACTTGTTGACACTATCTTGAAAGAAAGATATATTTTATACTTAGGTAGTAGGTTGGTCGACAGCAACTGCCCAGGGAGGTACTACTGTCCTGCCAAGCGAGTGTAAAATGGAAGCCTGTATGTAATTGTTTTACACGATGGTAGGATTGCTGGTGTATTTTTTTTTTTGTCTCATGAACATGCAAGATTTCAGGTATGTCTTGCTGCTTCTACTTACACTTAGGTCACACTGCACATGCATGTACAAGCATATATGTACACACCCCTCTGGGTTTTCTTCTGTTTTCTTATTAGTTCTTGTTCTTGTGTATTCCCTCTTATCTCCATGGGGAAGTGGAATAGAATTCTTCCTCAATAAGCTGTGTGTGTCATAAGAGATGACTAAAATGCAAAGAGCAAGGGTCTGGTAATCCCTTCTGTATACATTACTAAATTTAAAAAGAGAAACTTTAGTTTTTCTTTTTAGGTTACCTTGTCTCAGTGGGATATGACCTGGTCATTAAAAAAATGTATGTTATATATATTTTATATATATTAGATGAATGCAGAAGAATCCAATACTGCCGAAGACACTGACTCTGATGCGAAGATGGAGGATATGATGGAAGATCCCAGAGAAGATGACAGTGGAGCTGATCTTACCTTGTGCAGTGCAGAAGTTATGGCCATCAACTCTACAGATGCTGCAGAGTCAAGTGTTCAGCCTCCATTAATACCACCCCAAAATTTTCAAAGGTAAGTGAGTATAGTAATATACAGTGGACCCCTGGATATTTGCCAAATCGGATTTTGGCCACTTTTTTTTTTGTTGAAATTCTATCCTGGATTTCGGCCGGCAACTCGGAAATCAGCCATATTGCACGCATAATAATAATCACTCTTGAGCACATTAAATGTCTTATTTTAAGTAAATACAAACATTTTCATTAATCCATCTATGATATTGTCTTCAGAATTTTATAAGAAACACGTTACATAGTATATAAAAACATGCAATGTTTATATGTGATATATGTTTAATAATAATCACTCTTGGGCACATTAAATGTCTTATTTTAGGTTAATATAGACATTTTCATTAATCCATCTATGATATTTTCTTCAAAATTATTTAAGAAACATGTTACATAGCATATAGCATATAAACATAGCATATGAACATGCAGTGTTTACATGCTACCGAGTGGTGAGTACCGGCGAATCAAGGAGGAGGGTGGAGGGTAAACTTTACATTTTCTCTGATTCAGCGTTAGAGAAAACTGTGAATCTGGAGTCTTGCCCAGTCAACGCCCTGTATACACGTTTGTTTACAATTCTCAGCATGAATTATTCATTACTACTCCCTTTGTTTATGATGGCATCTAAAGGTAGTGTTAGAAACATTAACTTGGTTAACATGTATGTCGATGTTATAAATGGTTTTGTATGAAAAAAATGCTTGTAGTTAGCCAGGGAGCTACTACGTGTACCTACATCTTTCCGGCTACCTCACTGATTCCTACAAATAAATACTGCTCACCTCTCACCCTACATCAAGACTCAAATATTTTAGATAAGTAATGAAAATTGTTTGGCCCGTAAATGACAAAGAAGGGGAGTACTCTAGAGGGGTTTGTAACCCAAGCCTTATGGAGGGGGATCCCAGCCCCTCTCCCCCCTAAACCTTCTTCATTACACCAACAGTCTTCAATAAAGGGATGTAATGTTCATTTAACTTAAAATTTGTGTTTATAATATTTTCATTGTTTTTGTCTGTAAAAAACTAAGTAATTTTTTGTAAATAATTTTTGGGTGTCTGGAACGGATTAATTGTATTTATTATTATTTCGGTTTTCGGCCTTGTCGGATTTAGGCCGACCTTCTGGAATAGATTACAGCTGATAACTGAGGGTCCATTGTACTTCACTAGCCATGTCTCATCAAGGCACAGCAACCCAAAAACTCTGCTAGGGAGTCAGTTAGGGGCTCTTGATGTAAAAAATGAACCCATCTTCCCTTTCCTTGGATCAAACCTGATTGCTTCTCATCCCCCATGTGCTGTATGAACCCTATGTGTTGAATTCTTGCCCCCTTATAGTAATAACAGTAATAATGATAATAAAAATGCAGAGAAAAACACTTTTATTAACAATCTTATCTTGGTTGTCCCTCAAAAGTAGCATGAACATGACAGTTGTAATGATCCACAGAACCACAACATCCTCATGCATCTCTCAAAGTGCAGTCATTGTACTTCCCATCTTCAGCTCTCAAGACTGGAGGCAAAGATGGAAAAGCCAAATCCTTTTATGAATGTTACCTTGCTCACACTCTGTAACCCCAGTAAATCCCAAAAACTACTTGACACCATTTACTCAGATTTATTGTGTTCAGATGCCTGCTAAATGTTAAAGCCCCTACCACCTAAAACCTCTTTCACACTCCTCTTTTGACTTGTCCAGCCAAGATTTATACCCTTTGGTGAACCTATCCTGCTCTTCACTCTTTACTCTGTGCATTGTATTCACACCATACTTCGATATAAAACACAACATCTTGACACCACCAGCCTCCTCCTTGCCTGCTGTGGCATTCAAAGTCCATGCCTCACATCAAAACAAGTGTTGGTACCACTATCTCTAGTACATTCCCATTTTTGCCTCCATTGTTAAACTTTTTTTTTTCACAGACTCCTCAACACTCAAGCAATTACCTTCTTTCCTTTTATCTATTCTGTGATTATCTGTTGGCACATCAGTTCTTAAATACAGTATCTAAATAGTGCATATTCACTTTTTCCGTACGCTTTCCCTCCAGTGTGATATATCTTTATTGCCCGTGAAAGATGTGGTTAATGATAGAATAGATGAGAGAAACAAGGTAAATGGAGTGTTGAGGAAATTGTAGAAAGGGAGACGTTTATCTCTGGTGGCAAAAATTAATACTGACACTTTTATGTTTTTTTTTTTTATTTTTTTTTTTCAACAAGTCGGCCGTCTCCCACCGAGGCAGGGTGACCCAAAAAGAAAGAAAATCCCCCCCCCCCCAAAAAAAAATACTTTCATCATCATTCAACACTTTCACCTCACTCACACATAATCACTGTTTTTGTAGAGGTGCCCAGAATACAACAGTTTAGAAGTATATACGTACATATAAAAATATAGTGATAATGTGTGAGTGTGGTGAAAGTGTTGAATGATGATGAAAGTATTTTCTTTTTGGGGGATTTTCTTTCTTTTTTGGGTCACCCTGCCTCAGTGGGAGATGGCCGACTTGTTGAAAAAAAAAAAAAAAAAAATACACAATATATCCCTCCAAACTGCCAATATCCCAAACCCCTCCTTTAGAGTTCAGGCATTGTACTTCCCATTTCCAGGACTCAAGTCCGGTTATATAAAATAACCAGTTTTCCTGAATCCCTTAACTAAATATTACCCTGCTCACACTCCAACAGATCATCAAGTCCCAAATACCATTCATCTCCATTCACTCCTGTCTAACACGCTCACGCATGCTTGCTGGAAGTCCAAACCCCTAGCCCACAACACCTCCTTTACCCCCTCCCTCCAACCTTTTCGAGGACGACCCCTACTCCGCCTTCCTTCCCCTACAGATTTATACGTTCTCCATGTCATTCTACTTTGATCCATTCTCTCTAAATGACCAAACCACCTCAACAAACCCTCTTCAGCCCTCTGACTTATACTTTTATTAACTCCACACCTTCTCCTAATTTTCACACTCCGAATTTTCTGCATAATATTTACACCACACATTGCCCTTAGACAGGACATCTCCACTGCCTCCAACTGCCTCCTTGCTGCAGCATTTACAACCCAAGCTTCACACCCATATAAGAGTGTTGGTGCTACAATACTTTCATACATTCCATTCTTTGCCTCCATAGAAAACATTTTTTGCCTCCACATATACCTCAATGCACCACTCACCTTTTTTTCTTCATCAGTTCTATGATTAACCTCATCCTTCATAAATCCATCCGCTGACACATCAACTCCCAAATATCTGAAGACATTCACTTCAAAGTTAGCATATGAGAAGTTTTTACAAAGTAGAAGTGATGCAAGGAGGGAAGAGTATATGGAGAAAAAGAGAGAGGTTAAGAGAGTGGTGAAGCAATGTAAAAAGAGAGAAAATGAGAGAGTGGGTGAGATGTTATCAACAAATTTTGTTGAAAATAAGAAAAAGTTTTGGAGTGAGATTAACAAGTTAAGGAAGCCTAGAGAACAAATGGATTTGTCAATTAAAAATAGGAGAGGAGAGTTATTAAATGGAGAGTTAGAGGTATTGGGAAGATGGAGGGAATATTTTGAGGAATTGTTAAATGTTGATGAAGATAGGGAAGCTGTGATTTCGTGTATAGGGTAAGGAGGAATAACATCTTGTAGGAGCGAGGAAGAGCCAGTTGTGAGTGTGGAGGAAGTTCGTGAGGCAGTAGGTAAAATGAAAGGGGGTAAGGCAGCTGGGATTGATGGGATAAAGATAGAAATGTTAAAAGCAGGTGGGGATATAGTTTTGGAGTGGTTGGTGCAATTATTTAATAAATGTATGGAAGAGGGTAAAGTACCTAGGGATTGGCAGAGAGCATGCATAGTTCCTTTGTATAAAGGCAAAGGGGACAAAAGAGAGTGCAAAAATTGTAGGGGGATAAGTCTGTTGAGTATACCTGGTAAAGTGTATGGTAAAGTTATTATTGAAAGAATAAAGAGTAAGATGGAGGATGGGATAGCAGATGAACAAGGAGGCTTTAGGAAAGGTAGGGGGTGTGTGGACCATGTGTTTACAGTGAAACATATAAGTGAACAGTATTTAGATAAGGCTAGAGAGGTCTTTGTGGCATTTATGGATTTGGAAAAGGCGTATGACAGGGTGGATAGGGGGGCAATATGGCAGATGTTGCAGGTGTATGGTGTAGGAGGTAGGTTACTGAAAGCAGTGAAGAGTTTTTACGAGGATAGTGAGGCTCGAGTTAGAGTATGTAGGAAAGAGGGAAATTATTTCCCAGTAAAAGTAGGCCGTGTGATGTCACCGTGGTTGTTTAATATATTTAGAGATGGGGTTGTAAGAGAAGTAAATGCGAGGGTCTTGGCAAGAGGTGTGGAGTTAAAAGATAAAGAATCACACATAAAGTGGGAGTTGTCACAGTTGCTCTTTGCTGATGACACTGTGCTCTTGGGAGATTCTGAAGAGAAGTTGCAGAGATTGGTGGATGAATTTGGTAGGGTGTGCAAAAGAAGAAAATTAAAAGTGAATACAGGAAAGAGTAAGGTTATAAGGATAACAAAAAGATTAGGTGATGAAAGATTGGAGGGAGAGAGTATGGAGGAGGTGAATGTATTCAGATATTTGGGAGTGGACGTGTCAGTGGATGGGTCTATGAAAGATGAGGTGAATCATAGAATTAATGAGGGGAAAAGGGTGAGTGGTGCACTTAGGAGTCTGTGGAGACAAAGAACTTTGTCCTTGGAGGCAAAGAGGGGAATGTATGAGAGTATAGTTTTACCAACGCTCTTATATGGGTGTGAAGCATGGGTGATGAATGTTGCAGCGAGGAGAAGGCTGGAGGCAGTGGAGATGTCATGTCTGAGGGCAATGTGTGGTGTGAATATAATGCAGAGAATTCGTAGTTTGGAAGTTAGGAGGAGGTGCTGGATTACCAAAACTGTTGTCCAGAGGGCTGAGGAAGGGTTGTTGAGGTGGTTCGGACATGTAGAGAGAATGGAGCGAAACAGAGTGACTTCAAGAGTGTATCAGTCTGTAGTGGAAGGAAGGCGGGGTAGGGGTCAGCCTAAGAAAGGTTGGAGGGAGGGGATAAGGGAGGTTTTGTGTGCGAGGGGCTTGGACTTCCAGCAGGCATGCGTGAGCGTGTTTGATAGGAGTGAATGGAGACAAATGGTTTTTAATACTTGACGTGCTGTTGGAGTGTGAGCAAAGTAACATTTATGAAGGGGTTCAGGGAAACCGGCAGGCCAGACTTGAGTCCTGGAGATGGGAAGTACAGTGCCTGCACTCTGAAGGAGGGGTGTTAATGTTGCAGTTTAAACTGTAGTGTAAAGCACCCTTCTGGCAAGACAGTGATGGAGTGAATGATGGTGAAAGTTTTTCTTTTTCGGGCCACCCTGCCTTGGTAGGAATCGGCCAGTGTGATAATAATAAAAAAAATCACTTCTTCCATACTTCTCCTCCCCAATTTGATATCCAATTTTTCTTTATCTAAGTCATTTGATACCCTCATCACCTTACTCTTTTCTATGTTCACTTTCAACTTTCTACCTTTACACACACTCCCAAATTCCTCCACTAACCTTTGCAGATTTTCTTTAGAATCTCCCATAAGCACAGTATCATCAGCAAAAAGTAACTGTGTCACTTCCCATTTTGTATTTAATTCCCCAATACGTATTTTAAAATAGATTCTCCTTGTGATTATTATAGAAAAGCATTTTCCATATAGCATACTTCAGTATTAAAAAAGAGGTTGACTAATGACAAGTAATGTAGGTATTGTATTATGCATGTATAATTTGTGTAGGTAAAAGACTAGGGACTCAGTTCCTGAGCCTGTTATGTACTTTTGTATTCATTCATCTGTTGCCCACAGGGGGATATATTGTGCATAATCAAATTTTCAAATCAGTTTTTTCTTTATATTTTATGATAGGTAATTCTAAACTTTGATTATTAATTATTATGAAATTTATTTTGATTTAATTATTGTATGCTGTGCCCTTGTGGGTTTAGTGCTTAGTTATGTTAGGCGTTAGTTGACTGGTGTGGATTGCATCCTCGGACTAGAACCTAATTTGCCTGAAATGCTCTGCATAACAAGGGGCTTTCTGTATAGTAATATGTCATTGATGTCAGCTAGGCCTGTATACCATGTACATGTACTTGTAGTAAATAAAGATATTATTATATTTTTATTATTATTATTAATTGTATGTTGGATATTCCATTTGTTCATATTCTTATAGCATTTGAATATGAAAGATTTTTAAACTACAGAAAATTGCTTTTGACAGGAATATGGATCCATCTAGCTATCAAGCAGGACACAGTACCCGACAACAGGCAGAGTTGTTCATTAGTCAACAGACTTCTTTGCTACAGTTCACAGAAACAGCAGCTCTATCTCCACCAGACTTGCAAGAAAAGATCAGACAGCTGGTGAAACAGAATCCAGACCTTGCAGAAGCTGTAAGTTTAGTCTGACAATACAGCACTGTACTGTGTGTGTTTTTGCTTCTTTAGAGTAGCGTGGTGACTTTGAAAAAACAGAAACAGTTCTGACTTGGGCATCGGTAAGATGGGAAGGAAGAAGGATGGGGACTTTGAAAGGTTTGATAATATAGCTCCTATTGAAAAAATAGCATGTAGCCTCCTCACTTTATAGTTTACACTCTTTATTTTTGTGTACTTTTGAAAGCATTGGCAGCATCAAGGGGGTCTTCAACCCGCATAATTTCCTTCATCCCCCCAAAGGGGGGATGAAAATCATGCTATTCAACATGAAAATCATGCTATTCAACATGAAAATCATGCTATTCAACTTCTTCTTAGATATAAATAGAGTAGGTATATGCAGTGGAACCCCAGTTCTTGTCCAGTCCAGTTATCATAGAATTCAGTTGTCAACCACTTTTTCCAGTGAAATTTTCCCTCTCTTTTCATACATCCGCTCAAAAATCATCTGTACCAGATGTATCCGCCTGCTCGCGGGACACGGCTGCTTATACGTTCATGACTCAGTCTGCCTTTGTTACTCGTTAAGTGAGCATTACTCCGCTCGTTCATCTGAAACATTCTGTAATAATCCATTTTTTTTGTGTTTGTGACTGCTAAATAAGCAACCATGGGGCCAAAGAAAGTTCCGAGTGCCATCTCTTTGGTAAAGAAGGTCAGATACACGATAGAATTCAAGAAAGAACTCAGAGAAAAATACGAAAGTGATGTACGTGTGGCCGAACTTGCCAGGATGTATTGAAATCTAAATCAACAATAAGTTCCATCTTGGCGAAGAAAAACAAAATCAATGAAGCTGATGTTGCGAAAGGGGTAAATGTGCTAACGGAACAGAGATCGCAAACAATCAAAGATGTTGAGAAGTTATTGTTGGTGTGGATCAGCGAAAAACAGTTAGTGGGAGATAGTGTTGTGGAGGCGATAATTTTGCGAAAAGGCAAGGCATTTGCACGCGGATCTCGTAAAGCAAATGCCTGGAACGAGTGCTGCTGTTAGTGAATTTAAGGCCCGCAAAGGCTGGTTCAAAAGATTCAAAAAAGCGAAGTGGCATACACAGTGTAGTAAGGCATGGTGAGACTGCAAGTTTGGACAAGACAAACGTCTTCCATACGCCAACAAGAGTCTTCAATAAAAGTAAAAGTGATGTTAAATGTTCATTTATCCATTTCACTGGTCATTTATGTTTATTCCTCATTGCTTTTTGTATATAAAACTATAGTTATTCTCTTTAACCCTTTGGGGGTTTCGGCTGTACTAATATGGCTTACGCCCCAGGGTTTTTGACGTACTAGTACGCCTAAATTCTAGCACCCTCAAATCTAGTGAGAGAAAGTTGGTAGGCCTACATACGAAAGAATGGGTCTATGTGGTCAGTGTGCGCAGTATAAAAAAAATCCTGCAGCACACAGTGCGTAATGAGAAGAAAAAAAACTTTGACCATGTTTTTGGATTAAAACAGCAACTTTGCACTGTATTTTTGTATGGTATTTATTGTTGTATTCTAGTTTTCTTGGTCTCATTTTATAGAATGGAAGACATATTACAGAAATTGAGATGATTTTTGACTGGTTTTACAATGAAAAGTACCTTGAAATTGAGCTCAAAGTAGTAGAAATGTTTGATTTTTACCAAAGTTCAAAAGTAAACAAATCATGCCAAGCGTCCAATACACGTCAACTGGTGAATCTAATATTCTTTCACAAGTGCACTGATATTATTTATGCCATTTCTACACTAATGCAGTAGTCTGCATAACAGCAAATCTTCTATTTTTTTTGTAATAAAAATTCAAAGTGGAAAGCCAAAGAAATATAAGAGGGGCCTGGGGATGTGACTAACGAACAGAGAACTTGTTATTTTAGTGCCAGGAATGTCTTTCTTGTTTATTCTGAACCCTATTCGGAAATTGGCATCTTTTGAAATTTGTGTGCAATTGGAAAAATTGCTAAATTCTGACCACTTTATTGGATAGTTGAAATTGGTAAATGGGTGATTTCTTGTACTCATTTGATAGAAAAAATGGAGTTCTAGCGAAATAGTTATGATTTTTGTCGATTAGTTCACTGGAATTGGCCAAAAATAGGGCTCAAAGTGGGCAAAATCGCCGATGCGTAAACATCATCAAGACTGCTAACTTCGCGAGACCATAATTTCGTAAGTTTTCCATCAAATTTCATACTTTTGGTGTCATTATGATCGGAAAAGATTCTATCATTTCATAAGAAAAAATCATTTTTTTTTTTAAATTTTGGTGACCCTGAGAACAAGTCTCTGAGAGGGCCTGGCGACCCCCAAAGGGTTAAAATATATTTTTTGTTAATATTTTTGGGTATCTGGAACGGATTAATTGGATTTGCATTATTTCTTATGGGAAATATTACTTCAGTTTTCGTACAAATCGGTTTTCGGCTGACCACCTGGAACAGAAAACTGGGGTTCCACTGTAACTGCTATTCTGTGTTAGTATGTTCTTAATAACCTGTGCTTAGCCTTTTAAAATAGAAATGCCATATATCAATTAGCAATTTCAGCATAAGTCATAACATTATTGCTTAACATCAACAGCAGGCTTAAGAGTTTTGCCCTTTTTTCAGCATTATCTGAGTTATCTGAATTGTATTCGAGTTAAGGAATTCTCTGGAGCCGTACATAGCTTGTTGCGTACATATGATGGTCATCTGATACCACGAGACTCCAACAGGGTGGAGGACCAAGGCAGAGGATTTAGATATGCTGCATTAAATCTAGCTGCTCTTCATGCACAGTTTGGACACAAGTATGTGCAATTTTATTCACTGTTTATCATTTTTTATGGGAGTTGGTAGTAAAGAGTTAAGGAATTGCAGTAAGTAATGGTGTTGGAAAGACATTGATAAAATATAACCCTTAACTGTAGTACCTGGAAATTAAAATTCTTGTGTGTGTGTGGCAAAATTTTGAAAAAAAAAAAAAAAAAATCCTACAGTTTAAAAGAACATGTTTTTTTTTTAATAAAACTACAAAAAAAAAGTCAAAAGAAAACTTTATGGAGGGTTGAAATTGGTGAAAAATGATCACTTGTTGGCAGTAGCAATGTACATATGCAGAGCACAAGTACTGTATTATGTTTGTGTTAATTTTTTTATTTTGTTTTTAATGTCTAACAATATGTACACTAATTTCTTATGATATTAGATGAGTTTCAAGGTCTGTGCATCTTGTAGCATAAACAGATATCATACACCACCAACATACATCAACCTACACCACCACCAGATACCATACAATAGCAGACATCATACAAGACCATTATTCAGCATAAAGCATCAACATACAAGCCAAAGGGACTTTCTCCCATTAGGTAAACTTTGAGATATTGATAAGCTGAGAGATCATAGCCAATTTCAAACTCTTGATGTACACTCTCATGCCCAGAGAGTGAGTCTACCCTCCCACTCACCTGCAGTGTTGCCTCTTCCATGGGCACTTGTGTTGTGGGTCATGCCCTTGCTTCAAGTACCAAGATAAGATGCATAAACAGATAAACTGGGAAAAATATTTGTTTTTCCTTATTTCTTTTGATTTTTTTTTTCGTCTTCTAACACTAATACATGTACATGTATATAGAAATCCTATGATATTACAGTTGTGTGGCTTTCTTAGGTTATCATGAGTTAAGAATATACATATGCTATAAGGTAGAGTATTTTTCAAGTGCCCATAACACATGTGTGTCCTCAAGACCATTGTAAATGGTATATGTATACTGTACATAAATAACCCGCATATAGGAGAGAGAAGCTTATGACAATGTTTTGGTCTGACTTGGACCATTTACAAGTCACACTAACACGAGGGAGTGAGGGAGTCAGTGTGTGTGTGTGTGTGTATATATATATACAAAATATTTTTTTTTTTTTTTCAACAAGTCGGCCTTCTCCCACCGAGGCAGGGTGACCCAAAAAAGAAAGAAAATCCCCAAAAAGAAAATGCTTTCATCATCATTCAACACTTTCACAACACTCACACATAATCACTGTTTTTGCAGAGGTGCTCAGAATACAACAGTTTAGAAGCATACACATATAAAGATACACAACATATCCCTCCAAACTGCCAATATCCCAAACCCCTCCTTTAAAGTGCAGGCATTGTACATCCCATTTCCAGGACTCAAGTCCGACTATATGAAAATAACCGGTTTCCCTGAATCCCTTCACTAAATATTACCCTGCTCACACTCCAACATATCGTCAGGTCCCAAGTACCATTCGTATCCATTCACTCCTATCTAACACGCTCACGCACGCTTGCTGGAAGTCCAAGCCCCTAGCCCACAAAACCTCCTTTACCCCCCTCTCTCCAACCCTTTCGAGGACGACCCCTACCTCGCCTTCCTTCCCCTATAGATTTATATGCTTTCCATGTCATTCTACTTTGATCCATTATCTCTAAATGACCAAACCACCTCAACAACCCCTCTTCTGCTCTCTGACTAATACTTTTATTAACTCCACACCTTCTCCTAATTTCCACACTCCGAATTTTCTGCATAATATTTACACCACACATTGCCCTTAGACAGGACATCTCCACTGCCTCCAACCGTCTCCTCGCTGCTGCATTTGCCACCCGAGCTTCACACCCATATAAGAGTGTTGGTACTACTATACTTTCATACATTCCCTTCTTTGCCTCCATAGATAACGTTTTTTGACTCCACATATACCTCAATGCACCACTCGCCTTTTTTCCCCTCATCAATTCTATGATTAACCTCATCCTTCATAAATCCATCCGCCAACACGTCAACTCCCAAGTATCTGAAAACATTTACTTCTTCCATACTCCTCCTCCCCAATTTGATATCCAATTTTTTTTTATCTAAATCATTTGATACCCTCATCACCTTACTCTTTTCTATGTTCACTTTCAACTTTCTACCTTTACACACATTCCCAAACTCATCCACTAACCTTTGCAATTTTTCTTTAGAATCTCCCATAAGCACAGTATCATCAGCAAAAAGTAACTGTGTTAATTCCCATTTTGAATTTGATTCCCCATAATTTAATCCCACCCCTCTCCCGAACACCCTAGCATTTACTTCTTTTACAACCCCATCTATAAATATATTAAACAGCCATGGTGACATTACACATCCCTGTCTAAGACCTACTTTTACCGGGAAGTAGTCTCCCTCTCTTCTACACACCCTAACCTGAGCCTCACTATCCTCATAAAAACTCTTTACAGCATTTAGTAACTTACCATCTATTCCATATACTTGCAACATTTGCCACATTGCTCCCCTATCCACTTTATCATATGCCTTTTCTAAATCCATAAATGCAATATATATATATCTTTCTTCTTTCTTTCAACACACCGGCCGTATCCCACCAAGGCGGGGTGGCCCAAAAGGAAAAAGGAAAGTTTCTCCTTTTACATTTAGTAATGTATACAGGAGAAGGGGTTACTAGCCCCTTGCTCCCGGCATTTTAGTCGCCTTTTACAACACGCATGGCTTACGGAGGAAGAATTCTGTTCCACTTCCCCATGGAGATAAGTGGAAATAAACAAGAACAAGAACTAGAAAGAAAATAGAAGAAAACCCAAAGGGGTGTGTATATATATGCTTGTACATGTATGTGTAGCGTGACCTAAGTGTAAGTAGAAGTAGCAAGACATACCTGAAATCTTGCATGTGTATGAGACAGAAAAAAAAAAGACACCAGCAATCCCACCATTGTGTAAAACAGTTACAGGCTTCAGTTTTACATTCACTTGGCAGGACGGTAGTACCTCCCTGGGCAGTTGCTGTCTACCAACCTACTACCTAGGAGACGACCGACTTGTTGAAAAAAAAAAAAAAAAATAAATATATATATATATATATATATATATATATATATATATAATATATATCTTCTTTCTTTCAACACACCGGCCGTATCCCACCGAGGCGGGGTGGCCAAAAGGAAAAACGAAAGTTTCTCCTTTTACATTTAGTAATATATACAGGAGAAGAGGTTACTAGCCCTTGCTCCCGGCATTTTAGTTGCCTCTTACAACACGCATGGCTTACGGAGGAAGAATCTGTTCCACTTCCCCATGGAGATAAGAGGAAATAAACAAGAATAAGAACTAGAAAGAAATAGAAGAAAACCCAGAGGGGTGTGTATATATGTGCTTGTACATGTATGTGTAGTGTGACCTAAGTGTAAATAGAAGTAGCAAGACGTACCTGAAATCTTGCATGTTCATGAGACAGAAAAAAGGACACCAGCAATCCTACCATCATGTAAAACAAATTAAGGCTTTCGTTTTACACTCACTTGGCAGGAAAGGTAGTACCTCACCTGGGCGGTTGTGTCTACCAACCTACTACTATATATATATATATATATATATATATATGGTAGGATTGCTGGTTTCTTTTTCTGTCTCATAAACACGCTAAGATAACAGGGATATCTTGCTACTCCTACTTACACTTTGGTCACACTTCACAGACACGCACATGCATATATATATATACATACATCTAGGTTTTTCTCCTTTTTCTAAATAGCTCTTGTTCTTTTTTATTTCTTCTATTGTCCATGGGAAGTGGAAAAGAATCTTTCCTCCGTAAGCCATGCGTGTCGTATGAGGCGACTAAAATGCCGGGAGCAATGGGCTAGTAACCCCTTCTCCTGTATACAATTACTAAAAAAGAGGAAAAGAAAAACTTTAATAAAACTGGGTTGCTTAAATGTGCGTGGATGTAGTGCGGATGACAAGAAACAGATGATTGCTGATGTTATGAATGAAAAGAAGTTGGATGTCCTGGCCCTAAGCGAAACAAAGCTGAAGGGGGTAGGAGAGTTTCAGTGGGGGGAAATAAATGGGATTAAATCTGGAGTATCTGAGAGAGTTAGAGCAAAGGAAGGGGTAGCAGTAATGTTAAATGATCAGTTTGGAAGGAGAAAAGAGAATATGAATGTGTAAATTCAAGATTATGTGGATAAAGTAAAGGTTGGATGCGAGAAGTGGGTTTCATAATAAGCGTGTATGCACCTGGAGAAGAGAGGAATGCAGAGGAGAGAGAGAAAATTTTGGGGAGATGTTAAGTGAATGTATAGGAGCCTTTGAACCAAGTGAGAGAGTAATTGTGGTAGGGGACTTGAATGCTAAAGTAGGAGAAACTTTTAGAGAGGGTGTGGTAGGTAAGTTTGGGGTGCCAGGTGTAAATGATAATGGGAGCCCTTTGATTGAACTTTGTATTGAAAGGGGTTTAGTTATAGGTAATACATATTTTTAAAAAAAAGAGGATAAATAAGTATACACGATATGATGTAGGGCGAAATGACAGTAGTTTGTTGGATTATGTATTGGTAGATAAAAGACTGTTGAGTTTGACTTCAGGATGTACATGTTTATAGAGGGGCCACAAAATATATCAGATCACTTTCTAGTTGTAGCTACACTGAGAGTAAAAGGTAGATGGGATACAAGGGGAATAGAAGCATCAGGGAAGAGAGAGGTGAAGGTTTATAAACTAAAAGAGGAGCAGTTAGGGTAAGATATAAACAGCTATTGGAGGATAGATGGGCTAATGAGAGCATAGGCAATGGGTCGAAGGGTATGGGGTAGGTTTAAAAATGTAGTGTTAGAGTGTTCAGCAGAAGTTTGTGGTTTACAGGAAAGTGGGTGCGGGAGGAAGAGGAGCGATTGGTGGAAGATGATGTAAAGAGAGTAGTAAGGGAGAAAAAGTTAGCCCTATGAGAGTTTTTTACAAAGTAGAAGTGAAGC